CGCGCAATGACGCTCTCATTTGCTAAACGCGCGACACGCGGGCGCTCGAAACAGAAAGAGACAGCGCGCGAGAGCAGGGGGACAAACGCCAAGCGCGGCAAGTTTATTCCAGGAAAATGGAAATTTTTTGAGAGATAGCTGCGGGCGCGCGGTAAGGAGGAGACCAAGGGAGAGAGAGAGAGAGAGAAAAAAATTGCGCCCGCGGACGCGAAATCTCGCGCGCGGAGCCGCTGCCCGCCACCGCCGAGGAGAAATCATAAAATATGCAAAACGCGGATGCAAATCCACGCAATATGCATGAAAATGCGCAAAACGCCGCCGCGAAATATCGGACGCGCGCGCTGCGCCTCAACGGTTCTTTGTTCCATTTTTGCTCGTTTTCTTTTCGCGAGAGAGCGAGAGAGAGAGAGAGAGAGAGAGAGAGAGAGAGAGAGAGAGAGAGAGAGACGAGACGAGACGAGACGAGAGAGCAAAAGTGGAAATGCAATGGCTTTCTTATTGCGCGGCGTCCGGCTCGCTCGCGGGCGGGGAGAATTTTTTCCGAAACTAGCGGGCCGACGCGCACCGGTTCTGTGTCCATTAAACTCGCGCGGTAATAAAATTTTACAAGCCGAATCGGCTCTGCCGGGCGCGTTCGGGAGGGCCAAACGGATTATCGGGTCAGCGGCATTGCGTAGAAGTCAGTCGCGGGAGTCGCGGGCGAGGTGGACGTCCGTGGCTGCCGCGCTCCTGTCGGCAGTGGCTCGTTAATCCGCGGATCCGCGCAAAGCACTCGAATCCACGAGGGCGCATCGGCAAGACAGCGAGGTACCATTTTTTGTCGCGGGGGAACGATCCCGACGTACGCGCGAGCAATGAAATATTTATGGGTGCTAAAGCCGCCGACGAAAATTTGTGGACTTTAGGTCCGTTTGTTTTAGGGCCAGTTGCGCCCGAGATAACGGTTGCGAGAGAGGGAGCGGAAATTGCAGCAGCAGCGGCTCTGTACGCGAGCGGGCGACAGTTGTGTGTACACGGGCCAACTCAGCACTGCGAAATGCCAGTGGCCGCTCACAGCCAGCAGCGAGCGGAGTGTTTTACGGGCGGAGGTTAATGGGCTTGATTTTTATGTCGCGATTTAGTGCTGATTTGCTGCGCGCGTCTCGACTCGTCGTCGTCGTCGTCGTCGTCTTGCCCGGGTTCGAGTACACGTGCAAAGGCTCCGCCGAGGGGACGTCGCGGGCGAACTCTCGAGGCAAAGAAAAAAAGAAAGAAACGATGCGCGGACGAGTCGCTCGCAAAGAGGGACGGGCAGGAGCGAGGAGACGTGTCGCGGATGAGCGCGAGGCGAAAGCGGTCTGCGCCGTTGATTTCGAAATGCTCGGCACAGCGGGAGCCGCGAGCCGCGTCTAAGCTGGCTTTGGCCGATGCCGTCTCGAGCGTATCGCAACTGTCAAAGCTTCGCCTCGTAACGAAGCAAAACTAACGGCCCTCGGGGACAAAGGCGCTACGGGGCAAAGAAACGGCCACGTTTTTTCTTTTGCAGCCGTCTCCGCGCCTGGCGGGCTTGGCGCGTCGCGGCCGGAGCTCTAATGAAGTATGGAGAGGGAGAAATTGGGAAAGGAGCGCAGCTGCGCATCGATCAGCGACGGCCGCGACGCGACTCGAGGGAAGCGAGGGTAACGAGGCTCCGCGCGAATCGCAGCAGCGAGATATAAGCGAGTTTAGAGCTGGAAAGTCAAAGGAAAATCAGCGTGCTCGTTGGCTTGGCGCGCGCCTGGCTTATTTCGCGGGGCACTCGACTTCCAAGATAATCTCTCTCGACTACGTTACAGTGTGTAGGATCCTGCCGTATCGGACATTCATTAGCCCCGAGGACTGGGAGGATAGCCGGCGGGCGGAGGGTTCTGCGATTCTACCGGAACGGAACGCATTTACAACGCAATCCCATTTGCTGCTCCAACGATCCACTATCGAGCCGCTCCTCTCTGCTCTACTCCTGCTGCGCGCTTGCTCTCCCTTTCACTTTGCCGTACGCGCGCTCGAGAACTATATTCTCGCTTTTAACTACTTCTCTCGCTCTCACGGGCTCTTTGATTTTTTTGCCTCTTCTTTCTTTTCCCTCCCTCGCCCATTGCACTCCCGCCGATTCGCCGCTATAAACTAACTCTCTCTCCGCGCGCCATGTTTCGGAAAATGCGAAGGCTTCAACTTCGCTCTTCTTTTTATCACGTCACTCTCTCGTTGTACGTGCTTTCGCGAAATTTGGACAATGCCATGAAGGCGCATGTGGCAAGAATCTAACTCGGATTTTTACTCTCGATTATTCTCCGCTGCGATTCATCGCGGCGAAACAAAAGGCTTCGAGTGGTTAAAAGGGCACGTCTGGCCGTCGACGCTCGACACCGTAGCGTCGTTACATCGCCATTTCCGAGATACGCAAAATCTCATTTCCATTTTATCCACGTCCGCCGCTCGATCACCTTAATCGTTTATTATTCTCAGTCGGGATTTTATTTGATATTTATCCGAGGCAGAGCAACTGCATCGTCACTTCAAACTCGGAAATTCTCGCAACGAGATTTAGCTAGGAGGATTCGCTTCTGGAATGTTGGAGAAAGAGAGAGCGCGAGAGGGAACTCTCGTCTTTCAAGAATTCCATTCCAAGCATAGATATATACAGCTTGCCAAGCAAACATGAGCTTATATAGCTTGTTCTCGCGTTCTACGTCAGCCAATGAAGCATAAAGCTCCGACTCTCGCGCGATTCTATCGTTTCGGATATGCGTACGCTACACGTATTTACCAGACAGACAAAAGGAAAAAAGGTAGTTTTAAAAACGATACCTCCATATGTCAAACACGAATGTGTTTGGTCAAGCTAAAAAAAAAGAGAGATGAAGAGTAACTCGATATATACTGCATGATTCCGTAGATCCGCGTAAACATGTTTTTGCGTGGAACTTTCCGAAGTGCTTTTATTTTCGACCAAGTGGAGCTTTATCGATTGAGTTTCGCGATATCGGAAGCGACAAGCTGATTGACAAAAAACTTGTTTCGGGGCGTACAAAATAGTGCGGAAATTGCCCCCCCCCCCCCCGCCGCCGCCAATTTATCAAAAAAAGAAAACAAAAGAAAAGGAGAAAACCGGTTGTTTTCAGGAAGCCGGCATAACGCACGCGAACCATCCGGCGGTTAGTACCGCGAGGAAAATACAAACGAAAACACGCTGTCTGTTGTGGAGCTTGCGCGGACAGGTGAAAAGGTAGGGCGAAGAAAAGAGAAAAGACAAGAAGAAAGCCAAACAGTAGGCTGATCGCCGCGGGCCTCGGTGAGCCAGCAGACGAGCGACGACGCAGAAAAGAAGAAGGGCAAAGAGCGACACGAGCGGAGCAGAAGACGAGGAGCGTAGAAAGCCGAGCGAAAAGACGACGGAAGAATCGTTTGGAGCGTGCGTCTGGCATTGCGTAAGGCAGCGGCGCGCTATAGGTGCACGCAACGCGCGACTGACCCACATAGGCGTGCTTTATTTAAACCGGTTTCACGTTCGCCGCGCCAGCGTAGCTTTTAGTTTCGACTTTCGGCCGCTTTTAAAAGCTCCGCGGGCCGCAGTCTCGTTTTCTCTCGCGCGCCGCCGTCGCTCGGCTTTCCGCCACGGCGGGAAATCGCCGCCGCGTACGCGCCGCTTTTCCGTCGCGTCGCGCGACACGCGACCGAAATAACCCCCATCGCGTCGATTATGCATTCGTCTCTCGCGCTCGTCGGGCGCGCGACAGAGAAATAAATCGCGGAAGGGGCGAACGACCTTCCTGGCTCCCGCGCGAGCAGCGAGCGCTGACGTTGACGCACCGAATATGCCAGAGCCGCGCTCGAGGAATGCGCAGAGCGCGTGTGTACGTCGTCGTTACGTGTGCGCTTCGTTGCTCGCGAGCTCCCCTCCCGATAGACCCCCCTCCCTGCCCCTGGCCGGCCGAGGAGGGAACTAGGTGCCAACCGATTTTAATTGCAGCGTTTGTTTTCATTTTGCATTTTCCGCTAGGCCGAATCGATTGACGAGCGAGCTTTTACTCGACGTGCCTGGCTGTACTGCAGTTATTTTGCATGCACGGCTACTTTAGCGTTCAATCGCATTATTTAGATTTGCGCCGCTGTTTCCCAGTCGCCCCCCCCCCCCCCCTCCGTTCCCAGCAAAAGAGGCAGATTATCGAGCTCGGGGAGCGTATAAACACCTATATAGCTCTCGAGAGCGTTGCCGAATCTACTGAACGTATTCGTTCTCTCTCGTTTTTTTTTCCCTTTTTTTGTTGCGAGATTTCGATTTAGCGAATGCGAGAGAGAGAGAGAGTGGAAGGGAGCGAAGCCCGGATTACGCTGGCGAAATTGAAAAAGTTACGAGTTTTCTTTTGCCTGGCAAAGACGCAAGCGTAACTGGGCTCTTCGTCTTCTTATTCTCTCTTTCTCTCAATTCTCTTTGCCAGCTTCCTCTCCCTCCCTCTCTCTCACTCTCTCACTCATGCTTCTAATTATACGACCGATAAATGCACTTTCGAATCCCATTAAACGAGACGAAAATCACGAGTGAGAAAATGAAAGAAAAAGGAACCATTATCGCCTTCGGATAATAATCGGTACGTGTCGACGGGTGCGCGTCTCGACGACATTTGCTCGGCGGTCCCGTGCTACGTGATCCTCGACTAAACCTTCCAATCATCCCCATCGCCGACAACTTCAAAAAGTGTCCTTCCCTTTTTTGGCTTTCACCTCTGTCGGTTCTCCCCGAGTCCCTCGTCTCCGTCAATTTTCACGCCTACGGCGCGTTTTCTCTTTCCTCTCGACGGACCGTGGCTGAAATTGTTGACAAGGCCGGCTGACCGTTCTTTATTTATTTTCTTTTTTTCTCCTTTCCTCGTCCACAGCCAAAGAGCGAAATCGCGGTCGGCTAGCAGTCCAAGATGCAAGAACGCGTATAGAGCGAGCGAATAGGTTGAAAGAGGTGGCGGGACTCGCGGGTGCTTACTCACCGAATTGATGGCCGTCATGCTGGCAGCAGCTCGAGCTGGCTCCGACTCCGCTAGCCCGCCGTCACTCTGCAACAACAACAAAAAAAGTACATGCTTTTAGCGTCGCATCATCAGTCGACACGCGCGTCATTTTTATTTTGGCTATGCGCGCACGGGCGCCGAATCGGTGGAGCAGCATGCAACCCGGGAGGACTCCAAAAGCCGCGTCTGTGATTTCACACTCGATCACTCGGGGAGGGGGTGGTCGCAATTTCAGCGAGCGTGCACGCGTGGGCGCGTGCCCGGCTTTTAGGACAGGGGGAGATGGGGGCGCGCGTCGGCCGGATGAAAAGAGGAACGAGCCGCGCGAAACAAAAGCCGGCGGTGAAAAGCTCCTTCGCCGGCGAGGGGAAGATAAAGGCCGGAATGAAAATGCTGCCGAGAGCGCGAGCGGACTGTCGAGCCGCGGGAAAGTTGGCGCCGAGAGCGGCCGAGTGCGTCGACGCCGCGTCTGCTCGGACTCGGCACTCGGCCGGCTGCCGATCTGGAGCGCCAGCGTCGGCAAATCTCGCGCGTCGTAGAATTTTCGCGGTGGCCAGCGCGAGCGCTGCCTGCCGAACGAGCGGCCCTCGTCGGCCGCGAGTTGCGAGCGTGCCAAGTGCCGGCCAGACTCGAGCGTCGCTCGCGCAACATTGTTACTTTTTTCAGCGCCGCATTCCGCTGTACATGTGTGCGCTCGGGCGTTATTGAACGGCGCAAATGGCTCGAGGCGCTCTTTTCGGGCTTCGCTGTCGTCCACTGCTTCCGTCGGAGCTATTTCAGCGAAATTTGATTCCTCGTTCACATTTGTAATTAAAATTCGCTGAAAGCATTCGACAAAGCTCTCTCCCTCTCTGCCCCCCCTCTCTCTCTTTTAGTGGAAGGTGACAAGTGGCAAAGTTAAAACGTACACGCCGAGAAGGAAGAACGCGATAGATGTCAAGCGCAACGTTTTATTTTGCACGCGTGTGATATTTTCGCAGTGGACATGCTCCGAAGGAAAAGGTGAGCTCGAAAGTTGTCAAGGGGGCGAGGAGAAGGGCAAGTGTCTGTCTGTCCCGTGGCAGAGCATCAAGAATGCGCTCTTTGACAGCAGCGACGCGAGGGTTGAGGGGGACGTGAGAGAAAAGTATAGAGAGAGAGAGAGAGAGAGAGAGAGAGAGAGAGACGAGCGCGTCGTTCGGCGTCAAATTTGCATGCGCGCATTGTCCGCCGACATAAATGTCATGGGGCGAGCGAGCGCCGCCCGTCACCGACACGCGGCTACGCTGCGCGTGACGCGCCGCACCGGCCGCGACGAGTGGCCGCGCGGCAGTTGCGGCCGACCGTGCGGTAGGCCGGACACCCACCGCGCCGCCGATCTACTCTCCCGATCGGCGGCTCCGCGAAAGAAAGGCGGAACGAGAGCGCGAGCGGCTAGGCGGGCAGCCCAGCTGGCAAAGGGCAGCTAAAAGTTGGCGTTTACGGAATATATTTAGGCGGGTCAAGAGAGACAGAGATCGCTCGAGTACAACGCCTTACGACTTTTCACGCTTCACGCTACGGAGAAGTCCGATCGGGCCGCGCCAACTTTGTTGGCTCTCCGCGCTGCCTACTGCAAACTTTCATTAGGGCCAGACGAGAGAACTCGGCGGCAAGTTGCTGCGGGCCGGCCAAACTTTGCTGCAGCCACAGCTGCACGCCGACGCGAGCGAGTGCTCCTCGCGACAGCCTGTCGGGCCCGTCGAAGCGATCGAGAGAAGCACGAGAAAAGGGCTGTTTTTTAAGCGCCTTTAATCCCGCCCGGGCGCCAACCGATCGCCAATGGACTGGCAGGAGCGCGACAAAGATAAGGTTTAGCCGTGGGCAGAGCGCCGAGGCCGGATACGGAGAGGAGATGAGAGAAAGCCAGTCGCCGCCCTCCCCGGCCCGCATTCGGCCGAAACTTGGCTCCTCTTTCCTCTTTCTGTCCGTTATCCAGCGAACGTGGGCACGTACCGGCGCTACGCGAGCTCCCATCGAGCTCGACTGCCCTCCGTGGCAGCAGCTTTATCAGCGAAGCGAATGCTCGTCGCGCAAATGATTGGCGGGCTCAAGGCGAGCGTCCTTCGAGAGGCAAATGCGAGAGCCACACTTGCGGGCTCGCCGATTTTGTTGCCGGCGAAACCCAACCCCCCGGGCCTCCATTAATTAGCCTCGGCACCCTCGATAAGCCCGAGAGCGAGGGGAAGGAGCGCCGACTTGGCATTAATAGACTCGTCGACTTGACGTATTGTTACACGCGCGCACGTACACACACACGCACACACACACACACACACACGCACACACACACACACACACACACACACACCTGGAAGCGCGTATTTCGACGGTGCATTTATTTCGGGAAAGAGCGCGAGCGCGAGTGCCTCGTAAATCATAGGAGACAGCCGAACCTCATTAACCTTATCTGCCTTTGGGCATCGCCAGTTTTCACTCTCTTGAGACGTTTTTGACGTGAAAACTTTCGTCACCGACGCGCCTCCCTCCGACAACAATCGGACGCAACGCCGCTATCGCGAGCGCCAAAGCAGAAAAGAAAAAGTAAGAAAGAAAGAAAAGCAACGGTAGCTGCCGCTGGAAGGATGGATATTTAGGTGGACGGCTAGCCGCAGCGGCAGCGTGCAGGAGGAACGAGAGGCTGGATTGCGGCCAAAAGCGCTGGAGGCGCGCGCGAGCGGCTACACAGACAGCAAGCGCTGGCTTCAATTTCAAGTAGGCCAAGTAGCAGCAGCCAGAGCAAGCGAGGCTAAGCGCTCGACACTTTCCCGCAGAGAGAGAGAGAGAGAGAGAGAGAGAGAGAGAGAGAGAGAGAGAGAGAGAGAGAGAGAGAGAGAGAGAGAGAGAGAGAGAGAGAGAGAGAGAGAGAGAGAGAGAGAGAGAGAGAGAGAGATAGAGAAAGATGAAGCTTTTCTCTCTTGATCTTTCGAGTGCTAGCCCAAACTATCTATCTCTTTCTCTCTGTTTCTCCCTCCCTCCCTCCTCTCCTCTTTCTCTCGTTCCGGACGCTTTTTGCAAGTGTCGCCAGCTTTATTAGCTCCGCGCGATCAATTTGATTACCCTTGACTATCAAACGCAAGGTCGCTCGCGGCTGTTTGCTCTCTCTCGAGAGCTCCATTGTGTTGTTTTTCACGAGCCAGATTTCCGTGTATATATGTGTATATGTGTGTGTGTGTGTGCGTGTACGTGTTCGCGAAGTAGCTAAGGTAAAGATTGAGAAACCTGCGGATAATGCCTTACTGGAGAGAGAGAGAGAGGCCACTTATCAGTGCCGTGCCAGGTCCACGCGAGCTCGAGCGGCCCTTTTCAATGAGGAGTGCGCCACCGCCGACGCCAGTAGCCTCCCGCGACTCCCCCGCCCCGCACTGTACTTTACGAGCGGTGCACTCGCGCGCCGCAATACACTCGAGCTTGCGATCAAACGCCCCCGCCAAAACTTTACGAGGCTGCGAATTTTCCTTAACGAGCCTGTCTATTTGGACCCTTATATGACACCAACCTTCGACCAACTTTATATATAACTACTTGGCGCCTATTAACGATCTAATGACCACTTTGCGAGCACAGTGCACCTCACCCCTCCCAGTTTCACTCTTTCCGCGCACGGTCGCTGAGGAAATCCACATCAATCATCATATCGCGGCTGTAACTTTGCGGACAAAAATGCACGAGCGAAAAGTTATGGAGGCCAGCGCTGGCAAAAGCGCACGAACGCGCCAGACAATGAATAACGATTGGCTCGAGCGTTAAGTGTTATTCGCGCGCTCTTTTGAAGATGAATCGGGCGCGTTTCGCTCGCGTCGCGCGTGTATATATATATATATATATATATATATATATATATATATATATATATGTATGTATATATATATGTCGGTCAGAGCACGGGGCAGCTGTTGTTGGCTCGTCGCCCCGCTGCCGCGATGCTCCATCGAGAGAGTGAACTTGCACCAGCTATCGGAGCTTTCTTTGGTCCGTCTCTCTCGGCAGAAGCGCCTTTGTCTCGCAGCGCGGAAATAAAAATTTGCGGGGAGCGCGGCACAAAGAGCGCTCGGCGATTTATCGCGGGCAGATCGAATGGCTGGGAGGGCGCGCGGCTCTCCATAATTCAGCGCGCGGGGCGAGGGAAAGTCTCTCGGAGAGGCAGCCGGGCGCGCGGGAAATGGGCGAGAGAGCTGCCAGAGCGAGCTGCTGCCGCCGACTGGAAAGCGGCTTCCGGCCCGACGGCAGCCAGCCGTCGTTCTCGTCAGCGAGCGATCGCGCACTCGCGCGTTTCCCGAGCGAAATCGAGGAGAGCAGCCAGCCTCGCGGTTGCGTGAGCGCCCCGCGTTGTCATCCGACGCTGCGGATGGATCTGCGTGTACGAACAATGCACGAGAGGGGCGGGGGAGGAAGAGGGGGGCTAAGCCCGCTGCTGCTTGCGGGCATCACCTTGGCAACCGGCAGCGCCGCCGCGTAAGACGCTTTTGATAAGTCATCCCTTGCCTCTGTCGAGAGAAGCCTCTCCCTCTCTGCCATTATCTCGTGCGGTTGCCAAGATGCACTTCTTCGAGAAACGGGGCTGCTGCTGCTGCTGCTGCTGCTGCTGCTGCTGCTGCTGCTGCTGCTGCTGCTGCTGCTGCTGCTGCTGCTGCTGCTGTCACCCCACCAATCGCGAATTGCTCGAGCGAACCGCGGAGAAAATATGCCTGAACGTTTACGTGGGAAAACGAACGGAAAACGAACGGAGGAGAGAGAGCCCTCCGGATAGAAATCCCTTTGGGGCGACATTTCGCAAGCGACAATTAAAAGCTCCCGAAGCAGCGTGAGCGCGAGGAAAAGCGAGCTTTGAGCTTGCCAGAGATATCACAAGGGAAGTTCTCTCGTAACGAAAAGCTTGCCCGGGATAATTTCCTCTCTTCTTCTTCGCTTCGACGGTCAGAAGAGAAAGAGAGAGAGCGAGAGAGAGAGAGAGCGAGAGAGAGAGAGAGCGAGAGAGAGAGAGAGAGAGAGAAACACAGAGAGAGAACAAAGCCACCGAAGCTTGGCCTTTCTTCGATTCGCTTCCGAGATCTCGCGCTCTCCCTTTCTCCCTCTCCCTGCAGCGCAGCTTGCTACTGCAAAGAAGATTTTCTAATGCAATACAACAAGTCCATTTTCAACGAGCCCAAGATCTTCGGATAGCGAAGCAAGCCTAAGGAGCTTTTGTATCGCGTCGGTGCGGCAGCTTCCATGCACTGTTACCCGTCGACGTGGGCAAAAAGAAAGAAATGAAGAAGCCAGATGTGAAGAGTGAGAGACGGAAAAACGTACGTAGATGTATACGTCGGACAACAACATGTTTCGCGCGACGGCGACCCGCCAGCTGTTTTAGCCCATCGCCGTAGCGTAGCGACGGCGATTACCTCGTCGGCGTGCTTTCCACCGGCCTTCCTCGCCGTCACTGCAGCACACGCGCACGCACGCGCGACACACGCTTTTCCTTCGACCCGCGTCCCCTGCGTCACATCTTGACCGACAGAAACGATCGAGGAGAGCGAGCGACTGCGGCGCAGCCCGAGATCAGCCGACTCAACTCTGCGGCCACTACTGGCAGGGCGAGCGCCAAGTCGACCAAGTCGAGCTCTCGCCAGCATCGGAGCGAGAGCGAGCAAGCGAGAGAGAGAGAGAGAGAGAGAGAGCGAAGTATTGCTGCTTTGATATACGTATGTATATAACTTGTCGACGCGTCCACCTGCCACCTCCTCCTCTTTCCTTCCCACGCGTCGGAAGTAAAGCACGTGCTCGCCCCCTTCTTTTTTGCCTCGGAATGACTGATGACTATGTATAGACGCGAGCTTCGTGCCGCGCGGATGCGCTGCAACGTTGTTGCTGCTGCTGCTGCCGTGAAGCGGGCGTGTAAGCAAATAAACAAAAACGCCCATCAATCCTCTACACCCCCCCCCCTTCGCTCCTCGCTCTTCTGCTTGCTTACGACTCATTGCGCGCTCGTACATACCGCGTGGATCCGAACTCGATCGTCGTTCGTAGTAGCTGGTGAGCGAGGTGGGAAGGGGGGGGGGGGGGGGGAAGCACGACTAAGAAAGCTCGCTCGCGCCACACTACACGCGCGATCTATTTCCGACGACGCGACCAGTCGATAGCGAAGATTGTTTCGCGCTCCGATTCGGCAGCGGACGTCTCTCGGCAGAGTCTACCTGTGCGCGCCGTAAATCCCGCGGCTTTGATCGGCTCTCGCCTCGGCCGTGCGACCTCCGCACTCGCCAACCTGCGTATATGCCGACGCTCGCGGCGTAACGAATCGTCGAGCGATGCGACAGTGAGATACGGCGCGCCTTCGACACACACACACACACACACACACACACACACACACACACACACACACACACACACACACACACACACACACACACACACACACACACACACACACACACACACACACACACACACACACACACACACACACACACATATAATTGCCGTTATAAGAACGTTGTCGATCGCAGACTCGTTTGCCAGAAGAAGGGAAACATTGCGCAGACCGTGATAAGTTAGTGTCGGCGCGCGACAGAGAGAGAGAGAGACTATACGTGACCGCGCGCGCTGACCAAGAGAAAAGGTATTTCGGTGAGATTTTAATAGGCACTCTCTCTCTCTCTCTCTCTCTCTCGCTCGCTCACCGCACTTATATAGGTTTTCGGCCGTTTGGCAGAGAGATAGCACTGACCAAAATCCTCGATGCTAAGCGATTAGCTCGCCGACCGCGCGTTTATTCCGAGAATCGAGCGGTGCGAGCGCGTCGCCTCGATCCGAAAAGCAGTCGCCCGCCCATTGTTCCTCGCGCGCGTATGCGCGCTTAAATCGTTGCTCGAGTGCCGCGACGGCGGCTAAAGTCGTCGAAACTAATTTGCTCTCTCTCTCGCTCTTACCACGGGACTATTATGGAAGCGCGCGGATATATATCGGCGCCGTAGCGGCAAGCGCGAGGGGGCAAAAATAACTGACAGTTGAACGGAGAAGATGGGAAAAAAGAAAAGAAAAAATACAAAACCGAGATAGAAAAAGAAAGGAAGACGAAGGAGATGGAGGGGCGACGTAAAAGCCTCGCTTTTTCTTCTTTCGGGGAGACGGGCAGCTTTTCCGTCTCTCTGGCTCTCTGCAATTAGGCTCGAGCTTTTTCTTCGGTCTCGCGGCCTGCGAACGACGACGCTTCGGTGGAAAAACGAGTGGCCGAATTCGCAGGCTAACGCGGCAAAGCAGCCCTGTCGATCTCCTCCGATCCGTCCGGTGGCGGACGGGCACACCGGGCGGGGGAAGTTCGTCACGCCACGGATGAGGATCGATCGCGGAGGTGTCGCTCTCCTCTCTCTCATCTCCAGGGAGTGATCGGTCCCCGTCGGCCAGGCAGCCGCACTCTTCTCCTTCCGGATAATCAACGAATCGTTTCGCCGGTCCGCGTAGAGCGCCGCGAGACGCGCATTCGATTACGAAGAGAAAACGAGAGCGAAATTTTTAAAGGAACCAATTTCTTTTTACGGGCGCGCGGGCGCACACGAGTGCAGAGAGTATATACGACAATGAACGTTAGCCCGTTGGTTAGCTGCTCGTAAAGGCTTTACAGCTTCCCCCCGGCCCCAGCCTCGAAACGGATATAGATATAGCAGGAGAACGAGACGGAAGGCGGCGCGGGGCAGGGGGCCCCGAGCAATAAACGCCGGAAAAGAAAACAGAGCGAGAGAGAAATGATCTTCAGTGCCAAGTGAATTAGGGATTCACCGGCGCTCCTTTCCTGGCAGATTGCCCGTCGTCGCTGCAACTTGTGCCTTTTTCCACCGAGGAAACCGCCGCCGCCGCCGCCGCCGCCGCCGCGAGCACAAGATTGCTTTTTAACGAACGTATATCTCGGGACAGCGCCCGTTGGCCAAAAATCTCTCGTTGGCTTGGACAATGCGAGCGCTTTGCGCCTCGAATAGCTCGGGAATATTGGCATGCGACCGTCTCTCTAGCTCGCTTTGCCTCGCCGCGACGGGCACCGTCC